GAAGGTTCAGCGCCACGGTCATTGTGTGATCCATTCCATGGTGGCAATATTCTCTCAGGAACTTCGCATCCATTGGCTAGACCTGAATTACTTAAACGGGAAGCCTGCAAGATTCGACATACGGTTCGACCTGTATATTACCTTAAGCAATTTTTCCAACCGTTTGAGAGAACAGCGATTTCAAACGTTTATTTGGAGGTGATCACTCGTATTCCCTGAGTAACTGTTACTGAGGCATAAATCACAACAGTTACATTATAAATAGTAATGCAATCGGGTAAAGGAATGTATACATGAACTAGGGTGAAAATCAGCAGAGAAGCATGAGCACATGAACGTTAATCGAGAGAAAGTAGCTGATAAGCGAACTACGTTGAATGACAACGATAATGGATGTGAAGACCGGAAAACATACCATGAGATGGATGGCGGTAGCATGCATAGTACGTTACAGAATGCACAATTCATCCCGTACAGGGAAAAGTACGAAAGCGATAAATCATAACCAATTCAATTCGAGAAATATCTACCCAGACAAGTGAGGCAAAGAGAACAGAGAGTTTATGGCCATTAGTAAGTCCCTCTCTTTTAAACATCCATTACGGTTTTTCTTGCGATGTTACCAGCCAACAACGCTTCTTTATGAAAACAATACCAACGGTCTGCGGCAAACACATCGGGTACATATTACATGTTAATCAACACCTGTTATGTGAAGAACGCTCGCGTCCAATTACATTTAGGTGTTAAACCACGCCTTTGGAACGGAGCTATGCAGAACGATGAGGAGTAAATATAAAAGAGAAATAACACTTGGAAAGGTCATCTATAGGAAGGCTTGGGCTAGGAATCGAATGAAAACGAGAAAATGAACTCCACAGAGGTGAAGGATTATTTCCTTGAGGGTGATACAACCCATTACAAGGAAGAAAGTGCATGGGGATTTGCGATTATGTCCTGCAACCTTGGACAATTGATTAGCACAAAAATAGGAATGTATAACTTAAGTTTATTCTGTAATCTTAACTGAACTAGTTGTCAGAAATGCTAGTTTTGATATTCCCTGCATGCCCACGCGACAAATAATGTTATGGCTATGCGAATTCAAGAATTTCGGATCAAAATTGAATGTTTTTACATGGAATGAGTACAGAAGTTGACTCAGTTGAAAGTGCGGGTGATGTAAACGTCAACATATAGCTATGTATGACTTTCAGAGAGTAGTCGCATATAATGTGAAATGAAATGTCAATGTAGGATACAGCGATAGTAGGAAATGGATATTTTTGTTACTGATAACGTTAACTGACCTCTAATTTAAGATTATTAGAAATAACGATTTTTACTTAACAAAATACTGTCTACAGATGAAGTAATCATATTCTATACAAAGCACGAGCATTATTTTCCGATCTGTGGCTGAGACATAGCAGCAAATACCAAGATGGTGGCAAGAAGTTCATACATACTGGTACGGCGTGATAAGGGCACATCATGATTTCACCGGCGTGGGAGCGAAAGACGCTGTCGTTAAAAACTTTTCTTCGATGTATTTAACGTTCAGCCAACAAAAGAACAAACGGTACTATGACGGACACAATACGCAAAACGTGAAACTGCATAAGCTGTTTCTCGGTGAAGGTGAATGTGTCACGTATCTCACAGGAAGTCGTAACACAATCCTCCTGAAAGCGTTCGAACAGCTAGTCGCTGCATATATAAACTGAATATGAAGACATCATCTCAGAAAAACCTGTTATTTCCGTTCAACATTCCCACGAAAAAGCTCGTCATATATGCAAGATGAATAAGATGATCAGGCTTTTAATAGAAGTAAGGATTTTTGCCTAGTAGCACACAGCGAAGTAGTGCAAAAACATCTGGTTGTGAAGAGCACGCAACAATGAGTCAATGTGTCAGCCAGTTGAACAGCATCCGCAGGTGGCTCGAAGTTTGACTGATCTTTCGCCCAACTCTGTTGTCTATATTGTGAAAAAGATAGGGGGATATCCGACCCCGGAAAATAATGCTTATTATATATAGAGATACAGGCGTTTTAAACTTGATTCGACTATGTTTATGGAGTAAACCAGACAAGCCAAATAGTGAACGCTACGCGATGTATGTACATATATGAACTGAATATTGTGATGACAGACGGATAGGAAGCCAAATCTGAAACAACAATGGTAGCGTCATGTTTGGTAGACTGTGCTTTTCGTTATTGACAGTGGTAACATCATCATGTCAATTGATTTCATGTTATAGTTTCGTTTCCTAGCATGTTCCCCTTAACAGAAAAGTGTCGAATCAAGCTCCTCCACATTTTTCTGTCGTTAGTTACACCATGTTCAACTAACTATGGTGACCCAAGCAACGTATTAACAGCTAAATGCTGAATGACAGTTGCGTATCAACAAGTTATTCAGTCAACTAATGACAGATGAAGGAAAGAGAACATCGATGTACACATCCCTGGACAGTTTCATGAAATATTTTCGATCGCTGATGGACGTTTAACTTGAAAAATTTTAGAATAGGTGATACTTTTGATTAACACAACAAATACGAACGAGCATACAGTGTGCTAAGATAACGACGAAAGTTTTAGTGCGATCATATTTTAAATAAGAGAAAAAAAGTATCGTACTTTATAACATCGCTAATATAAATGAAGGTAAATATTTTCTAAGGCTCACACCGATATGGAATCAGAAGACCTATCACCTTCACCGAAAATGAAGGTCGTTCGTCCTTTGCCGCAATCAATAATCAACGAACATTTAACTTATATGTACATATGGGGTAACAATGATTTATGTGAAGCTGCTATTCAGTTCAGTAAAAGCAGATGCATGAAGTATGATGGTGCAAACATTAGACACCTTATGAAACGAATAAAATGCCTTTGACTGATACTAAAGGTGTGAGTATCGTTTTAAGCTGCCGCCGTCTATTTGGATAACTCGACAATGAGCACATAAAGTGAGTGTTAAGATTATTAACCAATCACTGTTAATCACTGTACAAAGTAATTTGCCAATTTAGTGCTGAAATACAATGATAAACTCGATACTAGATCAACATCGTTTTCATAACGATACAATTACCTATCGTGTACGTAAAATCGTTCAGCAAGCCGAAAAAAATTAATTTGTGGAAAGATGGAATGGAGAGTGGAGGGGATTCATCTACAACAAGAAGATAATAAATACCCTGAATGGATAAAAATTATCAGACCGTAATTCAAACACAATACTCGAACTAAAGGCGTACTTTTCGCTGCAGGTGACGGCCGCGGTCTGTGGCGGTGGAATCGGTGGCGGCGTATCG